TTTTCTGTACCATTGAAATTGCCACTTACACACTAGCTTTTTGGACATTACGGTTGGTCATGACATAAGCTGGCTGGTTTATGAGCCATGTTTAAAATTTGTCCGAAGGACTATAAATTTTACAGGTAATTTCACAGTTGTGACATGAGTTTAAATTTGATTATATATGTGTAAGTGCCAATTTCTAAATAATTTATGTTAAGTATTCCCAAAATTATTCCAAATTTTAGAGAAGAGACACATGCAGTGTTAGAGCATCTGTGAGCCTTTCAGATACAAAGACCACTTTAATCTCACTCAGCAGGCAGCATACAAGGATGATCTTAAAAGAGGGGAAATTATCCTTTAAAAACAGCTAATGTTATGAGCAGTTGGTATTTTCTTTTTAAGAAATTGCTCTGACTGGGGCCGGCCCTGTGGCTTGGTGGTTAAGTGCGCGCGCTGCGATGCTGGTGGCCCGGGTTCGGATCCCGGGTGTGCATCGAGGCACCACTTCTCCGTCCATCCTGAGGCCGAGTCCCACATACAGCAACTAGAAGGACGTGCAGCTATGACATACAACTATCTACTGGGGCTTTGGGGGGAAAAAAATAAAATAAATAAAATCTTTAAAAAAAAAGAAATTGCTCTATAGCAGTTATGGGTTAAGAAGAGACTGGAAGTAATTCTTTTATAAGCCTGAGTAAGAGTCTATAAAAGAAGCAGCCTATCATACCCAAGAGGAAGGAGGCAGAACTGCTATTTCTGTGGGCCGAAAATAAAGAATTGAGTAAACACGGGTTTCCCACAAGTCCTAAAGAATGAAGTTCTTAGTACAATGAATATTATAAGTTATTTGGGTAATCTAAGTACACCCTCCATCTTTTGGACATATATTTTACCTAAATGCACTAATGTATTTCTATAGAAATAGATCTCCAGTTTCATAAAGTATTAGGAAAATATGTTTTGAGAAATTTTGTTTTAAAAGCTTATACTATATTCATAGAGATCTGAATTTGTGTAAACTTGGCCCAATTACTTGGCATACAGTTTGCCTTGCCGTAATATTAGAATGGGTTACAGCATAGCATTTAGATTGGTTTATGTGTTTATTTTAATGGGTTTTAAGTACTAAGCATATATATTGTCGGAATTTTTTTCTTCCCCCTATAATATACTAGCTGTATTAAAAGACAGTGCAGTTATTGCTTGCTGTAGGAATTGTTCATGTTCTGTAGTTCATGTTCTGCAACAATATGTGCATGTATTTAATAACCCTTTTTCCCGATTAAAAGAGTAGTACATGGTTATGTGGTTATTTACAGTGTGTAAAATACAACCGTATTTTAACACATAAAAGAAAGTTGGTTCTTAGACTGCTTGTATTGAATACACTGTAGTACTTTCTTAGTATTCATGGTTAGCTCCCTCCTTTTTATTTTTGGCTGTCTCCTTCAGCTGCCACCAGAGGTAACTTGATAATAATAGAAAAAAGAACAAACACACGCCATTTAAGCAGATTGTACTGTGAGAACTTTCTGCTTGGCTTCTGGTTTATAGTAGGTAAGGTAGACTGGAAGCTAACTTAAAATTGCTTTTAAAATTCATGATAAGATTTGGTTGAGTCGTTAATCTGCCCCTTTCAACCAGGCAGCTTTTTTGAGGGGGAGGAAGATTGGCCCTGAGCCTCTTTTTGCTTGAGAAAGATTGTCACTGAGTGGTTGTTGCATCCGGATGCAGATTACTGAGGAATTTGTGGAGTTTCTTGACTGGACAGCTTTTAGTGCAGGGTAAGTGTAGTCTAGTGAAACAGGACAGTTACCACACCTTCTCAGTATTTAATTTTTTTCTATTTGCAATTTCGATTCAGTTTCCAAATTCTGAATAGTTTTATGACTTTCTTTGAAAAAAGTTGAAATGATCGTTTCATAATGAAATGGTCAAGGGTAGAAAAGGATAATCCAGCATTGTCCATAAAGGGCTTATTGTAGCCTGGTTTCTAATGCACAGTTTAGTGAAAATAGTATGTATTTGGTACCAGCTTTTGAGAAATAAGTTACTTAAAAATGGTGACTATTAATATGACCATTTTTCTGTGCGTGAAGACTCTGTTAGCTACCATTTCTTACGACAGGCCATTTTTTTCGTATTATAGTCAAAATAATTTTGAAGAAGTAAAAGTTTATTTTATGCTTTGTAGTTTATTCTTTAGGTTAAGTGTACTGACAGTTATTGATTTACCTTTTTAGTTAAGTCTTTAAACTGTTTTTGGAGGTTAAAATGATAGTGACAACTTTGTAAGTAGGAGTTAAAGGGGAGTTAAGAGGACTGTTTTTTAACCTTGAATGATTCCATGAAGAAATTTATGCAGATTTAGTTTTCCCTGATATAAAACTTGAAGGGTAGGCAACAGAGGAGGTTAGGTATTTGTGACACCTTGCATAATAAAAAGCAAGCCTTCTTTAAAAATATGTTGATGTCTTTTGAAAAGATACTCTGTCATATCTTAATGCTTTGTTAACAAACTAGAAAATTGCATTTTTTCCGATGAGTTGCTGTGCCAGAACTGGGATTTAAAATGTAAATTTTAGGATGTTACTGAGTTGCCTTGTTTACATTAATTCCTAAGAAGTGGTAATTTTCAGCACTTTTGAATAATTTTTAACCATTAGTTATGTTTATGAGGGAGGACTTGAAAATGAAATATACACATATTTGTACCATAAAATTTTTATCTTGTACTAGAAGGCTTCTTCACATTAACATTTAAGAATAAATTTGGGGTTTTAACATAAGATTTTGATTTTTATCCTAGTAAAATCGAAGGTTTTTACAGTATCACAGAGCACACAGCCTTCTGATATGTATGTATAATGAGAACTGTGAAGTTTATAGGTACTATTCAATCTACTGGTATTCAGTGATGGCATAAGTAAATGTTATACCAGAGGATCTGTTTTATAGAGGAGAAAGTCAAAAGATAGGAAGGTATTCTTAGCAGTTTAGTTAATGAACTAGCCTGTGAGACTTCAATTACAAGCAAATAAGCCATACTTTTTTTTTAAAGTACTGAATATGCTACTTTTTTACAGTTTAAAGGAATGAAAAAGCCTAAGTTGCTGTGCCTGCTCCAGGCATTTGTCCAGGCATTTAGAGTGTATCTGACATGTGGTGAAAGACTTATTGTAGGTAGCTAAATGGGAAAGGTTGATATTGAACAGAAAGGTAGCCTTATATTTCGGTTTTGTTTTTATCTGAAAAAAATAAATAGGGAGTATTAGTACAGTTCTTGATAAATAAGGCTTTTGACATTAAACAGAAAGTAAAGGAAAAGTTTTAAAGAAATTGCACGGTAGTCTTATGGCGTAAATGAAAATTGGTGTGAAATTGGGATAATTATTTACACTAATAATTAAGGCTTAAATGGACAGAGAAACCAAATTGTTCATCCTGCTTTGGTCATAAGTGCCTCATATATCTGTCAAATTAAAAAACAAGCTTTTAATGAGTTTCAAATTATTTGATTTGGAAAGTTTTGATTTATATCCAACTCTTTCAGAAGTCAGTCAGTTTTCTGATACAGGATATAGTCACTGAAGGGAGTACAAGTATGCATGACTGCATAAAATATGCAAAAACTATGAACAGAAGAGATGGGGTCAGAAATAAAGACACTGATACTAATTTTGTGATACTTCGTGGATAATATAGAATTTTTAAATGGCACAGTTGCAAAAATACATATATTAGGAATTTATAAGCCAAAGGGGAAATTTTAAGAATTTCATGTTTTCTTTTCCCCTCAGTTTTTTAGTATCTTTGTTTTACTTCAGAACATATCTTTCTAGTTAAGTCAGAGTAAACAAAGATAGTGGTCAAACAAAATTGAGAGAAGATGTTAGTAATTTTTTTTGTTTTTACTTCTTTGAACCTTAGCATGTGTCCTATAGTGTGCGAGTTTAGATAGGTGTGTACAGATATTTCAGCCTAGAATGCTTTGCTTCAGTTCTATCTTGATATCTTAACATGGCTTAGTGAAAACATTTTAAGATCACTAAGAATCTTCAGGTGATAAATTAGTGAAAATTTAAGACGTAGATGGGGGGGTTACAGTTAATGTTAGATTTATGCTTGAATTAAGTATTATATTAAAATTGTTCACATTTTAGGAACTAGGATGAAACATGAAAGGGGAGGAGGGTGAAGAGTATGGTAAAAACATTTAGAGAAATTCAGTAAATTCTCTTTAATTGTTAGAAACTAGACTTTTGAACAATTTTAAAGATTATAAAATTGTTTTTTTAATAAACTAGTTATTTGCACTTTACCTGCTGGCTTTACCATTTGGTAGATAACATTCTGAACTCCAGCAGAGTTTTATAATCCCCACGTGCTTAAATATACTAAATGTTCTTTTTCCATTAAGGTTAATGTTCGTGAAGAAATTGAAGAGTTTTTTCCAAGAATGTGGAAGATAAATCAAGATAAAAGAAGGCTAATGAAAAGTATTAAAGATCAGAAAATTAAAATTGAATGGGGGAAAAAATTGAACAGAAGATTGGTCAGATAGAAGCACTTGAATATTTTTTTAAGGCTATTTTGAATTGTTTGAATTGGGGAAGAATACACGAAGTATGAAAAATGAAAAACTCAATGAAGAATGAAGAGAAGTAGAAAGCAAGAGTGAAGTAGAATTAAAAGAATCTGGAAGAATGAATGGGTCCTAGGTTAAGTAAATGTATGGTTTATGTTCCAGTGTCTGTATGATCAAGTTGTAGATGAATTTGCATGATTACTTAGTTAATAGAGAATTGGCCATCTGGTTCAAGTAGGGAATTATTGAGGACAGTTAGCAGTATTAACAGTGGGTTAATAATGAGCTGAAATTTTTTCTGGAGGGTGTTGCCTAACCATTTGTTTTTCAGGAGCAATCAATATAAATAATTACGGTACTTTAAATGTTAGGTGTTAGGCATCTACGTGACCAGTGCCATTTGTAATACTGTCTTCTTTGTTAGGAGTCTCGCTCTCAGTCAAAATCTCCAACGGGAACTCCTGCTCGTGTAAAATCGGAGAGCAGGTCAGGATCTCGTAGTCCATCAAGGGTTTCCAAACACTCTGAATCCCATTCTCGATCAAGATCAAAATCCAGGTAAGTGTGATTTAAATAATACTTTAAATGCTTTCCTTGGATTTTTCAGGGCAAAGTGGTTTTTAACAAATCCCTCATTTGTGTTGCATTTTGTTAAGAAATTTCACCAAAGACTCAATCATGAAGTAGTTTTTTTCAAACTGGAGTTTAGAAATGAATATAGTATATTCTAGATAAAGACTCAGATAAGGTAGAATCACCTCCTAGCCCAGTTAATCTATCAGATACTAGCTAACAATACAAGTTAAATATATGTCCATTGACTTTAATGTGCTTGGCATTTGAGGATAAGTGTTTGATTTTACTTCAACAATATTTGTACAACAAAAAGGTAATTTTCTTTATTGGAGACTTGGTGTGTCATTTATTGTAGAAAAGGTTAATGAATGTTTGTTGGACAGGTTATCAGAATGATTTGAGGGGCCGGCCCTGTGGCACAGTGGTTAAGTGCACGCGCTGCACTGTGGCGGCCCGGGGTTCGCAGGTTTGGATCCCTGCCTCGCCCCGACGCACAGCTTGTCAAGCCCTGCTGTGGCAGCATCCCATATAAAGTAGAGGCGGATGGGCATGGATGTTAGCCCAGGGCCAATCTTCCTCAGCAAAAAGGAGGAGGATTGGCAATGGATGTTAGCTGAGGGCTGATCTTCCTCACACACACAAAAAAGAATGAGAAGCTTTTTCAAGATTCACCTTCCAGCTATGTCTGTTACCTGAAGGTTCTGACTCAGTAGATCCAAGGCAGAACTCTGGTCAGACGTAATTTGGGGGGATGAGGAGAATACCTGGGTGATTCAGAGCCCCTACCACTTCCACTGACAACAAAAATTCTAGTGAACCACTGCAAGGGTCACTGTATCTGATTTCCCAGGTATACTAAGGTGGGAAAAGTTAAAAACAACTTGGACAGTTAGTTTGAAGGCATCGTAATTTCTTGATTAGAGACATAATTTGTGTCTCTAAGGAGGCACAAGACAGAAGAATCAGTTAAAAGGCTATACTTTTCTTGAAGTCCACAGCTACGTCTTTTTTTCTGGTGTATCCAGGATCCAGCCCAGTTCTTGATTTACTGACCACTCTATTTAATTAAACCCATATATGCAGAATAGCAATGGATAGAATTTGGGTGTAGAAACAGAAATGAGCATATTTTCATTTTAGGACCTTTGCACTTGCTGCCCTCAGCCTAGAATTCTCTTTCCTCAGATATTCTCATATCACTTGATTCATTTCTCTGCTCATATGTCACCTGAGAAAATTAAATAGCATGGGCACTATTCCCTTACTCTTAATTTTTTTCATATTTGTCACTATCTGATTTAGAGAAAAGATAGGCACTCTTGAAGGGTTTTAAATTAACATCTTGCTTTTCATTACTATTTAAAAGTAACAATTGAGGGCCGGCCCCGTGGCTTAGCGGTTAAGTGCACACGCTCTGCTGCTGGCGGCCTGGGTTCAGATCCTGGGCACGCACCGCTTCTCCGGCCATGCTGAGGCCACGTCCCACATACAGCAACTAGAAGGATGTGCAACTATGACATACGACTATCTCCTGGGGCTTTGGGGGAAAATAAATAAAATTATAAAAAATAAAATAAAAGTAACAATTGATATTTTAAATGACAGATTTTCTTATTAGTGTTTTTTATTTATTTTTTAAACTGAGGCTATAAATTAGTGCTAAGGTAAACGAGAAAGAGCCTGTTTCATATCTTTGCTCATACGTAAATTTTATTCATACATACCCCATCCTACCCCAGAAATGATTAATTTCTTTTAAATAGGCCACTCATTTTATTTTTGTTCCCACTCAGAAAACCTTTGTTTGCCTCCCTTCAATAAATCTGTACTCTGAGCTCAATATTCAAGATTTTACACAATGTTGTCTCAATCGTTTCCTAATCTTCACTCTCATTACTTCCTTTGTAAGTATCCTAATTCCTAGCAGATTGTACTATTTGCAATTCTCTAATCACATTTCCATGTCTTCTTGCCAGGGAACCTTTGCTCTGGCTATTCCTAGAACACTTTTCCCCCATCTACCTTGTAATATCTGTTAAGTCTCCCAGCTTTATTGTTAGCCTTCCTTGTCTCAAACAATCTTGCCTCGTTAGCTTTATTCCCTTCACTCGTGTATTGTCTTTTTAAAGATTTTTATTTTATTTATTTTTTCCCTCCAAAGCCCCAGTAGATAGTTGTATGTCATAGCTGCACACCCTTCTAGTTGCTGTATGTGGTACGCGGCCTCAGCATGGCTGGAGAAGCAGTGCGTCAGTGCGCGCCTGGGATCGAACCCGGGTCTCCAGCAGTGGAGCACGCGCACTTAACCGCTAAGCCACGGGGCCGGCCCATGTGTACTGTCTTTTTAAACTTTCTGGCCCTTATCTTTTATAACATTTATTGAATGTCTTTTATAACATTTATTGAATGTCTTACAGAAGTTGTTTTGTATGACTATCATCACTACAGACCAGTAGTGTTTAGTTAAGGGTGGGTCATAATAATAGATAAGAAATTGTTGCATTTATAGGCAAAGAAAGAGGCCTGAGAGTGACTGGAAATAATCAGAGATAGGAGATGAACTAGGGAATTAGCAATGGGGAGATGGGTGAGATGGTGAACGCTTGAGGAAATGAAGGCGACTATTAGACTTAAGACATGAAGACTATTAGATTAGATGGTATTTAGGTTTTTGATGGATTAATTTAGATGCAAGATTACAGTGAGCTAAAGAAAGATTGGAAAGGAAATGATACTTTGAAGGGAATATAGAACTATATTGAGAATGGTGATAAGAATCAAAGGATTTTATTGTAGTGGTAATTGGTGATTTGTTTTGTCTTTTTTGTGGTAAGATACACATCAACAAAATTTGCAGTCTTAACCATTTTTAAGTGTACCGTTCAGTGGTATTAAATACATTCACATTGTTGTGCAGCCATCACCACCATCCATCCCCATAACTCTTTTTATCTTGTAAAACTGAAATCTTACTTGTTAATGACTCTCCATTCTCTGCTCCTTCCAGCTCCTGGCAACCACCATTTTACTTTCTGTCTCTATGATTTTGACTGCTCTAAGTACCTCATATGAGTGGAATCGTACAGTATATGTCTTTGTGACTGGCTTATTTCACTTAGGATAATGTAGAATATTGCAGAATTTCTTTCCTAGTGGTAGTTTTGTTTTGTTTTGTTTTTTCTTTTTAAAGAAGATAGAGCCTTATACATACTTGTAAGGTGAAAAGAGTGAATGTAGGAGGGATAGACTGAGAATGAAGAGGAGATTGTAGTGATTAAGAGAACAAGAGGAAGAATACCCTTTCCTCACAAGGGAGAAAGGAGCTGAGAATAAGCAGGGATATATATATATAGGTCCTTGGAGTTAGCCATTTTGTTTCAGTATTTTTACCTAAATTTATTTCTCTCAAAGGTCGAGGTCAAGAAGGCATTCTCATAGACGTTACACTCGATCCAGATCCCATTCTCACTCTCATAGGAGACGATCTCGAAGTAGGTCATATACACCAGAATACCGGCGTCGAAGGAGCCGAAGTCATTCTCCAATGTCTAACCGGAGAAGACATACAGGCAGCAGGGTATGTGGTTTTTAAAAGTTAATGAAAACTTTTGTCTTTCCTATGTATTTAGTCCTAACATAATAGCTTGCTTTTATGAGAGCTAGACCACTGTTTAAAACTGGTGCTCCAGGAACAACATCCTTGAGTGCATGAATATTTCTATTCTTGACTTTTGAGTATTTAAAACAGATGAGGGGCTGGCACCGTGGCTTAGCGGTTAAGTGTGCACGCTCCACTGCTGGCGGCCTGGGTTCGGATCCCGGGCGTGCACCGACGTACCGCTTGTCCGGCCTCGCTGAGGCCACGTCCCACATACAGCAACTAGAAGGATGTGCGGCTATGACATACAACTATCTACTGGGGCTTTGGGGGAAAAAATAAATAAATAAATAAAATTAAAAAAAAAAATAGATGAAATTTGGAAAGAAATGATACATTCCAAGAATTAAAATGAAAAGCATAAACTGAGTTGAGACCATTGAGATAAGGAAAAGGGCAAAGAAATACCAAAAACTCTGTAGTAGTAATAATAGCTAACACTTACATTGAGCACTGTGCAAAATTCTTCAATACATTTAATACTCTTAACATCTCTGTGAGGCAAGTTACTGTGTTATGGATAAGGAAATTGAGTCTTGGGTATGTGACATTGAGGTTTGTTTGTTTTTTGGCTAACTGGAAAAGCCCAGGTTTCAACCTGGCTACTTGGCTCTTGACATTCCTGTGCTTAATTGCTGTGCTGTGCTTCTCCCATGTGATACTGAATCATTTAACCGTGGTGGAGTGTGCTATTATTTAATGATGTTTTGAAATCTATTCATTTATTTTTCAAATCTGCATCATGGGAACATTGAAAGCGTATCCTTGCAAAAAAATGAAAATGGAGGAGGAGAGTCTAATCAGCAATTACAAAGTCAGATTATGTACAAATGTGTAAGGGATGTAAAACATTTGAATAAACTAGAAATATGGCATTAAACTAAGGATAAATTCTTAGGATACATTCTGAAAATTGCTGGGCTAGAGAGTAAGGATGTTTTTTATTCAGGCTATATTCCAAAGAAGGCCTGAGTATACTGTGAACTATAAAATATGGATAGTTTTTATCCTCTTAGGTTCTTATTTCCACGTGAGTTTAAACAATATAGTTGTGTATTGGGTGACATGTTTTAAGTAAAATATTTCTCTGTGTTTTTATTTTAATTTGAAGATTAAAATTAAATGTCATCTTTATTCAACAGGCGAATCCAGATCCCAACACTTGTCTTGGAGTGTTTGGCCTCAGTTTGTACACAACAGAGAGAGATCTTCGTGAAGTATTTTCTCGATATGGACCATTGAGTGGTGTCAATGTGGTTTATGATCAGCGAACTGGACGATCACGAGGATTTGCTTTTGTTTATTTTGAGAGAATAGATGACTCAAAGGAGGTAATTTTGTTTATATAATTATTTGTCAATTTGATGATTGTAGTATTGAGTTACTGTTAAAAGTTGGTTAATAGACTCCCAGTTCCATGAACATTATGTCCACTTTCATTCTCTGACCTGATTCAAACTCTATTTCTCAGTGTTACAATTGGAATGGCCAGTTTCCCTTTTCATTTAATACTCTCTGGTTGAAATCTGGCCTTCTAAAGTGAACAATATATGTTTGAGTAAATGAAAAAAGTAAAGTCTGTAAGTGTTCTCTTTTGAATAAACCTTATTCGTGCTCCAAGCCGATGATTAAATTGACTTTAAAATTATATAGTGTTTAGGTTTAATCTGTTTAATTTTTTAGGTGTCTACTTAGCTCCCCATGTATAGATAACAGAGCATTGTTTTTCTCTTCTCTTTTTTTTTTTTTTCTTTTGTGTGAGGAGATCAGCGCTGTGCTAACATCTGCCAATCCTCCTCTTTTTTTGCTGAGGAAGACTGGCCCTGGGCTAACATCCGTGCTCATCTTCCTCCACTTTATATGGGACACCGCCACAACATGGCGTGCCAAGCAGTGCGTCGGTGCGCGCCCGGGATCCGAACCGGCGAACCCCGGGCTGCTGCAGCGGAGCATATGCACTTAACTGCTTGAGCCACCGGGCCGGCGGCCCATTTTTCTCTTCTCTTAATATTCAGCTATCGTTCTTTTCTATAATTGAAAAATAATACATAGAAGGAATTGGTACTTTTTTGTTTAGTGCCATTCTTAATTTGCCTAACAGAATGATCCTAATCAATGTCAGTGATTTGAAATAGTGCTCTTCTAATGTGTTAGGTATTGGATTATAAAGGAAGCAGTAGGCTTGTTTTGTCTATACTAACAGTTCATAGTGATTGAGTTAAAAAATTCCATTTGAAGAAATTTGAAGCTCATTATTAAAGTTTTATCAAACCTTAATAAATGGTAAGTACTGGCATTTCTTTTTTGTATTTTACTTGACAGTAGTTGGATATAGGTCATTATTGCTCTATGAATCAACAGTGTCTGATTGCAACATACACAGTCATAATAAAAGCGTATCTTTCAAAACTAATAGATGCAGGGGCCGGCCCCGTGGCTTGGAGGTTAAGTGCACGTGCTCCGCTGCTGGCGGCCCGGGTTCGGATCCCGGGCGCGCACCGACGCACTGTTTCTCCGGCCATGCTGAGGCCGCGTCCCACATACAGCAACTAGAAGGATGTGCAGCTGTGACATACAACTATCTACTGGGGCTTTGGGGGGAAAAAAATAAATAAAATCTTTAAAAAAAAAAAAAAAAAAAAAACTAATAGATGCTATTGGCATCTGGTGAATAGAGGCCATTGATGATATTAAACATCCTGCAGTGCACAGGATAGCCACCCACAACATAGAATTAGCAGTCGCAAAATGTCAATAGTGCTGAAGTTGAAAAACCCTAGATAATTCGAACAAAATAATGCTCCAGGTTGTAAGTCATTTTTTGTAGTAGATGTTCTAATAGGCACTCTGATGGTTTAATTTGTCAGTATCATGGCTTTTTCTTACTGTTACATATCTGTGATTTGTTTATTCCTTTTCTCAATTAAGGGATAAATGTGTAAATGTGGAAAAACCAGGATATCTGACCTGAAGTGAAAATGCAAGCAATAGCACAATTAAAAATTTTTTTCAGTGCTCGCTTCAGCAGCACATATACTAAAATTGGAACGATACAGAGATTAGCATGGCCCCTGCGCAAGGATGACACGCAAATTCGTGAAGCGTTCCATATTTTTGTGCAGAAATAGAAGTATAATAATGTACACCTGAAATTTATACAATGTTATAAACCAATGTTGCTGCAATAAACAAAAAATTTAAAAAAATTTTTTTTTCAATTGAAACTTGTCATATCTGTTGATTCCCCCACTCCCCCCCAGGTTTATTTCTGGATAAAGTAAAATGAAAATGGCAACTTTACTTAGTTCCAAAGAACTTCTTGCAGATTTGTTAAAGTGATTGAATTATTATTGCATTTATTGGTATTAGTGCCAAAGGGCATAGCGATGGGGAGTGTAAGCGCAGGTATAGAGAGAGGAGCACTTGTTGGCAGGTTTGGAAGTTCCTTTATGTTTGGAGTTCACTAGGTGGCAGTGTGTTACCTAAGGAATGGCTTGATTAGTTTAGACTTGTCAGCTGAATTGCAGTTTCTGCTTTTAGTTGCCTAGACTGAAACTAGATACTGCAGCCTCAAGAGTTATGCAGGCTTCCCTGAGTTGTATGGTTCCTTTTCTATGGCTGTAGCTGCCTCCAGTCTTTCAGCACAGGCCTGCTTATGTGTCCGTGTGTACATTAGAAGACTCAATACTATTGACAGGCATATAGCAGGGATTACTGTGTAAAATCTTAGACTCTATTCATAGAGAAAGAAGTGTTTAGAGTTTTGAAATTTCAAAGGGAAAATATATTAAATTTGTTGCAGTTTGGGTAGTTTCTCCTTGGTGAATTATGCATGACTTTCTGTGCCTATTCTCCTTTAAAGGCTATGGAAAGGGCAAATGGAATGGAGCTGGATGGTAGAAGAATTCGTGTGGATTATTCTATCACCAAGAGAGCCCACACACCTACACCAGGCATCTACATGGGCAGACCAACTCAGTAAGATTTCAAGTTTCCTAAGCTAAACTGTAAGAGCCAGAAATCCACCAGATACGCATGCAAAATGTTGATTAATCAAATGATAAATTTTTTTTCTATGTTAAGAGTTATAAGTTATTTAATTTGTATGTATTCTTCGAATCATTTTATTTTTTTGTATATATATATATTTGAGCAGGCAAAAAAATTAAAACTATTGAAGTACATTCCTGGCTCTTGGTAGTTAAACAAAAAGGTTATTAAATACTAGAAAAATATCATATGCTTTTTAAATATTCTCTTTCTATTCTTATGTGACCTTTGAACCTTTGTATATAAGGAATGGTTTTACTGGTATTAGTGTTTGTTTTGGGGGACACATTGTGTAGAACATAAGTGGGGGCTTTTATAATGTTTTTTAATGTAATACAACCAAAGACTATTTATTTCTTAAGAGAAAGAAGGAATATAGGCTTTCATTTAATTTGAAACCTTACTGGGGGAAATGTAGGATTTGGCAAGGAGAGCCTACAGCAAACTAAAGTGAAAATAGTGTCCCTATGATTAGGAATTGGGAAAACAGCAGAAGAAAGGGCTTCGAGTTTAAATTCACTGCCAGAGGTTTAAATACCAGAGCTTGAAATTGTTTTAGTGCTGGACCTCAGTGTAAGACAGTTAATTCTCTTTGGTGTTCAGGGTTAGTTACTTTTTTATTCTTGATGTGTATTAATTGCTTTTGAATTAGTCATAAGGACTCACATCTTAGCGTTTGGTACTGTTTCCAAGCTTCAAATGAAGCTTGGAAGTGAAGCACAGTGCTTTATTTCACCTTGTTGAAAAGGTCCTGCTGTTTTGGGTAGTGCATTAATAAAGCAGTTTATAGTTTGGACAGATTTTGTGAAATCATTCCTGGTTATTTGTGTAATGAATGGGAAGCCAAAGCAGAATACCATGGGAGTCAGCAAAGTGAGACATGGAGATAACTGGCATGAAAAGGTTATTCTTTCTCCCTTGTCTCCCCTCCTTACTCCATTTTATTTTATTTAAGTACCAGTTTGTATTAAATAATACTGGAAAATAATCATTCACATTGGTATGAAATTTTTACATTTTTCTGTAGTAGTGGTGGCGGTGGTGGTGGAGGCGGTGGTGGAGGAGGAGGAGGTGGCAGACGTCGAGATTCTTACTATGATAGAGGATATGACCGTGGGTATGACAGATATGAAGACTATGATTACCGGTACAGGTAATGTTTTAACTTGTGATTTCTGTTCTAAATTAGATGATAATAATAGTATTTGGCACATATTTAAAATAGACTTTGTATGATGCTTTCTGGAGAACGTAGGAAAAAAGTATTAAGACTGAGAACAGAGGTTAATTATCTGTATTTGCCAGTATTTTCTTGTGCCATATGCTTACTATTTTGGTATCATTTGACACACAGAAGACTTAATAGTTATCATCTTGAGTCCATTATTATTTTGAATGACAGGGAATTTTTATTTTCATCCGCCTCAGTGGAGTGATTATGTTGTATGCTAAAGAATCTTTTATTTCCTACAGAAGAAGATCACCTTCTCCTTACTATAGTCGATATAGATCACGATCAAGATCTCGTTCCTACAGCCCAAGTACGTACAGTTTTGCTTTTGTAGCATTAAGAACCTCATTTCTGGGCCGGCAGGTTGCACAGCGGTTAAGTGCGTGTGCTCTGCTTCGGCGGCCCGGGGTTTGCAGGCTCAGATCCCAGGCGTGCACTGGTGCACCACTTGTCAAGCTATGCTGTGGCAGCAACCCATATAAAAGTAGAGGAAGATGGGCACGGATGTTAGCCCAGGGCCAATCTTCCTCACCACAAAAGAGGAGGATTGGCATTAGATGTTAGCTCAGCGCTGATCTTCCTGACCAAAGAAAAAAAAGAACCTCATTTCTAATTACTGGTTAATTTTAGAAAATTAGGGTATATGGTGACTGTTACTATAGTTGGAAAAATATTAGGCAAGTCACTATAATTGTCATTTTGACTTTTTTTTTTCCCCCCTTTCAGGACGCTATTGATAAACAGAATGGTTGCAGTTGAGGACATCTTTTTCTTTCTTTTTCTCTTTCTCTCTTTTTTGTTTAATTCTGGATTTCTCCAAGCTTCTAATCCTTCCTATTCCTTAAAAAGAACCCTTAAAAAAATCTTTGGTTTATTTAGCATCTATACTTTGTCAATTGTATTGCTGTTTTCCACTCCTTTTATTATCCTCTTAAAGGTGTAATTGTTGTCATTTTGAGTAAACATCTTGAGTAAAAAAGGAACCTCCAGTGTTATGCTTTGTAAATGAGTTTTCTTTGCTTTTACAGAAAATTAACTCTTGGCTAATCAAATGAGGAAAGAAATGATCTTTTTAAAGCTTCTTTTGTGTTACATATTGTATTAGACATTGTATTAGAGATCTGCATTTACAAGGAACTCCTTTTTTAAAACTTTCTTTTGGAGAAGATAGTAACACATAAAGTAGTTAAGTCATGTCAGGTTTGTCTGGGTTGGCATGGAGCAAGTAATGTAGAAAGTTTGAAGCTATAGAAGAAAACACTTGGTCATTTCTTTTGAAGAACGGAATTTTTGAACCCTAAAAATTACGTTGTTTTTTAGAAATGAAAAGCTTGTGGACTCCTACAAAACATGTTGTATTTAAAATACATCTGTTAAAACTTACAAACTTAAAGTGTGATTTTTGCGTTCAGTTTATTGAAGTTTAAGTATTCCTTTAATCAGTGAAGGATTTATTTATTACTTAGAGCAATTGTATACTTCGCTGTTAGAAATTTTGGAATTGGGACAATAGTTAGGCAGGCATTGTATAGTACAGTCCGTAGAAGATACGTGTGGGGAAAAGTCTCCTTTCAAATAAAAGTTAATTTCTTTGAAAATGGGACTGTCTCTTTATTGTGGTACAATGAGAAAATATAACTGGATTGATTTAGGAACCAGTCCTTTTTCCTAACATTTTTGCTTACACTTGAATGCATAATCTGTGTCTCTTCTTCAGTCTTTAAAAACTCTTGTTTTTCTTCCCTCCTCTTTTTTGTGGACCAAGTTATAAATATTAAGAGTATTCACTACCAAGCACCATGCTGAAGGAAAGAAACAATAGGTCTTCAAGAAGCCCAATGCTAGTAGGCTTCAACGAGTGTAAAGCCAGGTATTAGAAGACTAGGAATCACTGCCCTAAAGAGAATATTAATCTGTTGATTATAGGAGTACTTTAGGGCCGGCTCCGTGGCTTGGCGGTTGGGTGCGCGCGCTCTGATGCTGGCGGCCCGGGTTCGGATCCCGGGAGCGCCCCGAGGCACCACTTC